TTGATCTGGTTCTCTGACTAATTCCCAATTAATTAGAAGAAGGTTGGCTTGTCTGTAAAGACTTAAACTGTAATCTCACCGGGGGCTGTAATGATTATTGTCAGTTCTGATCAATCTGCTGTCAACTCTCCAGATGAAATGTTTCAGTCTAAACAATGCAAGTAAAACATGAAGAGCACAAACTTCTACAGTAACCCCTAATAGTGTTGCTTCAGTAATCTTTAAATTGTAGGTCCCTGGGTTGGATACCGGAGGGTCACCAGTTCAAGTCTCGGTGCGGACCAAAATATGGAAGTTGGTTTGGTAACTGGAGAGGTGCCAGAATTTCCTTCAGGGATTAATGAAGTCTATAAAATTCAAACTATTAACACAAATACTCAACTTTTCTGTTCTGTTTTGTTTTTAAAAGGACCTGAACAGTGTCCCTGTATCTCCATATCTATTCATTTATTCATGGGCATAACATACCAAGATTCCCAATTTAGCCGTCAGTTGTTGCGTTGCATTGTGGGTTTTGTAGGCGTTAGGTGACTATGCTACATCTGGGTCTGTCTATTGTGAGTCAGCACCTTAAGTCAGATATTTTTATTGAAGTGAAATACAAAATCATTAAAGTACAATGTCTTACAATTTGATCCCATTTAGATCCTTGAGGTCACAAGCACACAGGTGTGCAGGAGAAGCTTTAGATTATTTTTGATACACAATAAAATGTGTTTGAGATTATCAAGCTTTTATTTTAGACACTTTTTAAGTAACTGATCGCAATGATAATAATCCAGAGAGGAAAACTGAAAACAACATTTATTACTTCACTTGTTAAATACTTATAGGCTTGAGCCAGTAAAGTATTTATCAGAAACTTGCCAGTGAAAAAATGATGCGATCATAAACTGTTGCCACTCTTTAGACGGCAAGAAACAGTCTTTTGTTGCTGATCGGTAAAGTGATGCCGTGTGCGTCAGTCAGCAGTTGTTGACCGTTGTTCCATTTATTTCCACTCCTGGGTGGTGGCATATGATGTGGGCACGGGGCATTTGAAGCATGCTCTATTCTTTCTCACCATGAATGACAAACAGCATCAGAGGGAAAGCTCATCCAAGAGTGTTCCTCCTACATCATCTGAACATCTGTCCCCGCCTCCTCGCTGTTCAAAATGTCTGAAGCATCCAACGCAGTAAAGGTTCATATGAGCACAAGACGCTAGCTCGGCTAACACCATCTATGGACTAAGTTGAACTCAAGTGTTCTTTCTTAAAGTCTTAATTTCTGGACTTTGTTATCCACCAGTTTTAAAAAGGAGCACATTTTACTCCATTTAAGATATTTTTTGTAATTTATTTTATCACACGTCACCAGTGAGCTAATATTAGCATACATAAAATGTCCATTACCACAACACAAAGGCCAACTGGAAATTCTTTTGACAAATGGCATGTCCCGGTGCTTGGACAATCTCTGTTGAAGATTGTACAAATTTCTAACTTTGTTTCCAATAAGAGGTTTGAGACTTGTTTTAGCCTTTGTTGCAGTTTAACTCTCAGATGTTTTGGGTGCTTCTTTGCCAAATTAATTATGATCATTTAAGGCGACCGCCAATTAACCTCGAGGACAGCGGATCTGTATCGATCTGCATGTAGATATGGATTTGTCAGTCCATGGTCCCCTACCAGTCCTGCAGACCAAACAAAAGGAACGTCCACCGTGTCCTCGAACTCATCTGCGTTGCTCAAAATGATCCATTTAAAGAAGGCCGATCTCTCCATGAGCAAAATATATAATGTCTTTAAGTTCTGAGTCTTGATACTCACCAGCACCCTGTGTTAGTGTCAGATGTTGTTAATGTCAGAGCGGTACACCGTACAGGTCATGCAGGGTCCAACTGTGATTAAAGGGGAATCTTGTTAAAGCTCCTTAAACGGGTTACCTTGGCATGGAAACAGTACGGTGAGTTCAGCCATCTCTGTAAAGCAGCAGCTGATCCCAAATCTACCTGTCTTTGTGTGTCTGAATACATGTGATTACAATAAGAGTACATGGATGGACCTTCACTCTAAAAACAGAGGTGTTGGCATTATTTATCTGTGGGTTAAAGTTAGTGAAGATTTACTTCTAATGTTTTGTACAAATTGACTTAACCTATGTTCAACCTTTTTTGTACTTACGCTACCTCAATTAATTCCAACAGTTATCAAAGCCTTAATTTTAGACTTGTACAGGACATGTCTTGTTGTAGTGGCGACCATGGACACGGCATGTTTATCGTTGCCGTGGAAACACCAGATGTTAATTCAAAGACCGCTGCATAAGAAAGCGTGAGCTGTTACTGAAAGCTGCCGTGCCGTTGCTGTATTTGCTACTGTGATAAAAAACGTCATGTAAATTAAACTCGGATACATTAGCTCGTCTGTTAAACATATTCTCTTCCCCAGGCCGGTTTCGCCCGTTGGTCTTGACTACGGTCAACTCAGACGTCGTTTTCATTGGGTTGGGTAGCAGAGAGGATCACTCCCATGATTCCCCGGCAGCCTCGAGGTCATCTTTTCTAATTATTTTGATTGAGACCCCCCCTGGTGGCAGAATTTATCAAATGAGCCATATTATGAGTCCAGCTCGGTTAATTAGGGTGTTTTCCATTGGAGAATGAATAGTCTCCGTGCTGACAAGATTCTTGTTTTTTTAACTCCCAACTATGCGTTAAAATGACGATCATGGGATCAGGTTGGACAGTGGATTTGAAAACATCAGGTAGTGTTGGAAGGACTGAGCTCCAATCGCTTGACAAATTAGGACAATGGCAGAATGAGTGTGCTGAGGAGGCAGGTGAGAGTTTACATTTGTCACAACTTGGATCTTCAGTGGGACATCTATGAGAGCTTGACTTTTGAATTGAAGGCGATTCAGCACCTTAAATTTGAATAAGGCCGTGTCTGGCACATATGGAGTGTCAGGACTTTTCTCCATCCCTGCTCTATCAAAGCTACCCCAAGTCCTCCCAAGCTGATCTATGAATACCCTTTTTCATATTTGTTCAAAATAAAAGAAGGATTTTTTAAAGATTTTTGATACCACTCTTTCGTATCAGAAAAAAAAAAAAGTTTTGACAGCCTTAATTGCCTAAACCTAAAATTGGCTTTCACATTTCTATTTTCACTCTCTTAAATATATCATCATATCAGCCAGCTCTTTGTAGCCCGTCTTACATAAAGTGTGTCAGTCAGCCAGCAAGCAGCGCAGCCAGGCCTGAAACATTGATGCAGAGGCGTTCACTGACCTGACACTGCTCTGAGTGTTTTTGACTTATCTCTCTGCATTGCTGAAACCTCTGGATGGCAGATGTATTGATAACGAAACAATAAGAGAGGAGAAGACAGATTGCAAATTAAGGTGAAAAACAAAGTTCAGCCATGAATGATTTCCTCTTCTGAAAAGCGTACAGATTATGAAACTCTCTTGTTGTTCAGCTCTTGTTTTAATGGAAGGACTTGGTGATGATGATCCTCGCCATATTGGTGCACTACCGGGTGGTTGTGGCTCAGTTGGTACAGTCGGTCGTCTCTCAGGTCGGGGGTTCAATCTCCAGCTACATGTCTGATGTGTCCTTGGGCAAGACGCTGAACCCCAAGTTGCTCCCGCCGAGTATGATGTGTATGAATGGGATCATTTCTTTTCTGATGGTCACTTTACCCAGCAGCCTCTACCATCAGTATGAATGTGTGTTTTTAAAATGTTAGATCAACTCAGACTCACTCCTTATCAAGAGTTACCAGATCCAAATTTCTTGAGGAACATTTAATTCAGGAATAATTACAGTTCCAGATTCTCCTGAAGCCATTTGATCGAAACGTCTTCATCAAAGATTCATGAAAGTGAAAATCTGACTGATGGTGTGTGAAGCATTAACGAGCTCTCACATATTTTCTTTTCCCTGTGTGTGTGTCAGAAACATTCTTTAAATAATTAGCCAGATCTATCAGTGCTTTCATTTTGAAGCCTGACTGTTACAGACTAGTCAAAACTAATTTAGCCTTTTTAAAAAAAATTCTCCCATCATTGTTCTATCTGAAGGAGGGAAAAAAACATTCAAACAAGGCACTCTCTTTGTGGCTTGTAAAGGCTTTGATTCGTACAACAGTTTAGTTTAAAAGAGGATGGTTTCATTTTTGCTTCACACATTCCTCTCCCTTTTAAGAAACCAATCAATCTTTATTTCTATAGCACATTTAAAACAACCTAGATTGACCAAAGTGCTGTACAAAAACACAACGTAAAACCAACAAATAAAATAACATATAGAATGAAACACAATAAAAGCACAATAAATAGGAGCATGAATCAAAATGTCAAAATGTCAAAATGTCAAGCTCAAATTGTATTAAAAGCCAGAGCAGAGGTGAGTTTGAAACCATAGACTGTAGTGTATAAAACATAGACGTCCACTCAGAAGTCACCCATTGATTTCCAAAGAGGCTTTATGAAGCCTAAAACCACAGTTGCCATGTTGGAAATATTATCTCTACCTGACTTTCAATCAATCGAGAAACATTGGAGCTGAGTGGGTTTTTAACCTCATGGAAAACAGAGCGGCTGTGGCTCAGTTGGTAGAGTTGGTCGTCTCTCAACCAGAGGATCAAGGGTTCGATCCCCAGCCCCAACATTGTCATGATTTGGTTTGTGTAGTTTATATTTCTTGCTTTAGTAGTTCTCATTTCCTAGTTTAGTTTCTAGTGTTTTTATTTTGGTATTTCTTATCCCAGTGTTCTAGGTTCTAGTGTTTATCTACATTGAGTTCCCTGTGGTTCTTCAGTGTTTCATGATTTATTTTGTAGTTGTCCTCAGTGTTTCTAGTCTTGTATTTTCTCCCTGCCTCTGTGTGTTTCCCTCTAGACTTGATCGCCCTCATTGTCTTCACCTGTGTCTTGTTGGGCTCACCTGTGTTTGATTACCCCATGTCTATTTAGTCTCTGTGCTTCTTCCCTTTGTGTCACTTCTGAAGACACTCAGGGAACTCAACGTAGCTAAACACTAGAACCTAGAACACTGGTATAAGAAATACCAAAATAAAAACACTAGAAAGTAAAGTAGGAAACAAGAACTACTAAAATAAGAAATGTAAACTGAAAATACAAACTATATAAGACCAAATCATGAAAAACGTACTATACAAGCTCATGTCCATTTACCATTTACAACGCGTCCACCTTCCAGTCTGATCAGTAGGTGGCTTTAGAGGGAGCACAGAGGGGAAGGGGTGGGTGCAGACGGAGCACTGAGGGAATGCTACTTTAAAATTCATGCCAGTTCTTGAAAATGACCAGCCCTGCCTTTAAGATGGAGCGAGTATCGGTGAGGAAAGTGAGTAAATGAAGCGTTCAACTGAGAATTAAAGGAGAAGCTGAGTTGGATTTTCTGGCACAACTTCACCATCTAGCAGGGTGTGTGAAGAGTGAAATACTTGAAGAGGTCAAAACGCTCCAGCAGCACTTGTAGTATGAAGAATGACTTTATTCACTCTATGAGACCGACACACTGCGGCCTTCAGAGACCTTCACACCACAAGTGTTTTTGACCTCCTCAACTGATAAATACAGGAAATGATACCGGCAGTACAACATGGACTTCTGTGTTGGTATCATTTTGGTCGTGTAATCTCTGTATTTAAGATCATAGCTATCATGAATCGTGTTCGATGGTGAAGTCATAAAATAAAATTCAGATTAAAAGGTTCAAAGGTTTGTGTTGTTTCAGTATCGATTTTCCCTCCAATACCTCCGTCTTAGACCGCCTCCAGTCCAACATGCTCAGCCAGTACTGATCTGATCAATGTGTCCGCGGCTCCTTTAATGTAGAACAGTGATAATTAGGCCCCGGAGGATATCAGTGAATTGGCAGATTAATCATTTTGACCTAGTGGATCCAGGCTATGTGTGTGTCACATCGACTTTGCTGTTTTCCACCGAGAGCTTTCAGTGTAAAGGTATTAAAGTCGGCTGGACTCCGCTGTCACTCAGCTTTGTGTGAGCAGGAGAGCGGAGGTGTAGGGAGGGAAAATTGGTTTTCAAAATGCCATGGGGGAAGCCGCCAGTTGAAGAAAAAAAAAAACTGACTGAATACTCTGTCCATGAAATGTGTGATGATATGATGTGTATCTGTGTGTGATACGTGCAGAACAACTTAAGACTGACAGGTGTCCCTCCCTCTTTTGGTGTCCCTCAGGGCGGCAGTATGTTCACTTCAGTGAAGGCCTTCGAGGGGCAGCAGTACTCCACCCTGAAGAGGCAGTGTCTGCAGAGTGGCCTCCTCTTTGAGGACCCCCGCTTCCCCGCTACCGACGACTCGCTCTTCTACCTGGGCAACAGGATCGGACGCGTGGTGTGGAAGAGGCCTCGGGTGAGTGGGTGAAGATATCTGATGCTGCTGATGACTGGTTATTCTGTCTCACCAACATCAAGCCCCGATATTTCAAAACAGTTTAAAGCTGCAGCTAATTCTGGACAACTCCCATGACTATATTTTTGATTCATTGATTCTTTGTTTGTTTGATATTGATCAGTGCTTCCTGAATCCTGAGATGAAGGACTCATATTTTTATTTGTCTACAAACAAACATTTTAATTGTTATAACTCGCCAATAACAAAAGATGACGTTGAAACTGGCGAGGAATCATGGGAGTGCTACTCCCCCCCAACCCACCCCTGATGAAAACAAACTCCCAAGTTGACCGTAGTGAAAACAAACGGGAGAAAACCGACCTGAGGAAGAGAATATGTGTGAATATGCTTCATTGTGCAGCATTCTTGGACTTAACATCCGGTGTTTCCACGGCAACGAAAAACATCTGTCAAAACAAGACACGTCCCGTTGCAACTATAAAATGTAGGATTTCTCTGGCTTTGATAACTCTTGGAAATATTCCAGGTAATTTAAGTACTTAACCAAAAAAATATACCACAGGTTTAGTCCATTTTAAATTAATTTAGATATTTTAGTGTAAAATTCAACATTTTCAACCTTTAATGTAAAAACCGACAGCGTGTTGATTCATGTTTTCAGATCTACTTTAGTTCAGAATGCATCAATTTGACCCAAATACAGCGTAGCTAGATAAAATGTTTTTTCTGTAACAGCTTAGCTGATGAGGTTTACATGAGCCCGGGGACAAAATGGTGATGGGTCAAAGTCCAAACACATGTTTCAAATCTCACATACTTAAAGGTATTATCAACAGAAACTTCATGAAAAATATTGAATAGCTGCATCTTGTCAGAAGTGGGCGGCTGGAGTCGGGGCCCAGAGTTAGATTTTTGTTTTTAAACAAAAAAAAAAAAAACAACGACAGGAAATCTAAAAAAAAAAGCAAAATGTGAAGGTTAAAATGACTAAGAAGGAAACATTGCAGTTGCTTTGGCCGTCCTTTTTACATCATGCCACTTAAAGCGGGATTATACTCTCACACAGAAGCGCTCAGATACAGCTGCAGACACCACAGATGTGTAGTAGTTCTTCTGTTTTCACTTCTTGACATCTGCTTGGAGGATGCGGTCCATTTTTCTTAGTAGCTCAGAATTGATTGGACGATGTAATCCTCGTTCACTTGATGCCCGTGCTGCGTAATCTGTGTGGTGACAAAAACGAGACTTATAAGCATGGTGTGCACAAAACATACATCCCTTACATCCACTCCTGTGATGAAGGAGTTGATTTAACATGGACGCCGGCGCTGTGCTGACACGTTATAAAAAGGCGTTTTGTTGGATCAGAAATCTGCTTCATTTGCGAGGAGGCTCAGCAGCATTGCATGATGGGATGAAATCTGACTGCTTCAATCTTCAGGAGGTTGTGTGAGACACAGACTAACCAGATGTTGACGCACTGCTGTCAGTTAAACATCTTGCCAAACTCCCTGCAGAAATATGTCAAGGTCATTTTTTTATGCAACTTTGCCGTACAGTAAATTGGGAGCACTTATTGGTCCTTTAAAAAAGAAACATTCACACAGAGAGCTCTCGGTGCCAAAGAGCGCTTCAGGACGAGGGTTTGATGACTGAATAATTCACTGAATAACAGTGTGTCAGTGTTCATTTGTCCCCGCTTCACTCCCCTCTGTAGTCTCCTTGTATAAGCTGGTTTCTGTATGTATGCTTCGGCAGCAGATGATATCAGGGCCTCAGGATTTTTAGAGAGCTGACTCCCCTGTCGCCGTTATATCCCACTCACACAGCGAGGCCGGGGCTCTGGAAGGAGTAACCTCCTTCTGCCTGTGTGCCGCCGCATCCACAGCCAGCATGCATCGCCATGGAAACTGGGTCACACAGATTATACGTTTGGGTCTGTGATGTCAGTCAGGCAGACCGAGAAGTGGAAGAAGTCAGGAGGAGAGAAGCAGGAGGAGGAGCAAACTTTTTATTGACACTCTTGACTAGTGGTGAGCAGTTTGACCTGAGATCCAGATCATAGTATTTGTTGTTGTTGCTTTTTTTGCAGTAACGGTATTATATCGCAGTTTTACAGTACATTAAAGGATTGCACATATGAACAGATATTCCCGCAGTACGGCCCCCTTTCCCCCTTAAAGAGGTCATATTCTGCCCTTTTTGGGGTTCATATATTTAATCTATGTACCTACTAAAGTATGTTCACAATAATAAAGTTTTAAAAAAGTGTCTGTTTTCATGAACTGCGCTCCGTGCACCGGCTCTCTTCTGACTCTCTCTCAGGCTCTGAAGTGCCCACGTTCAGAGTCCCCACGTGTGCCAAGTCTGATCTGATTGGTCGGCCTGTCGGCTCTGCCGTAATTGGTCAGTCGCTCAGCACGGTTCTCAGAAATGTCACGCCCCTTTTACCATATTGGGAATGCAGCCACTTTGGCTCCAAGGGGAGCAAAAACATTAGCACCTTAGCACTACTGTGCTATTTCTTTTCGAGGGGGGCTAGAACCGAGCGTTACATGCAGCTAATGCTACAGCTAACAGGAGGACGTAGGAGAAGCCGCGTTTCCTTGGACTTTGAATTTTTGCACATAGATGTGCCTAAACATGCACAGGACACTTGGAAAACACAGAAAAAGCAGAATATGACCCCTTTAAACAAGCCCTTTAGATGCATTCCTCCACTCATGATTATGCATGAGACCAGAGAAAGATGTAGTTTACAGCAGCTGTATTTTTTTCAATAGATTTATTTGGGCATTTTCTGCCTTTATTAGAGAGATAGGAAGGTGAGCAGAGTTGAGAGAAAGAGAGTGGGGAATGACATGCAGGAAAGGATCCACAGTTTGGATTCGAACCTTAGCCGCCTGCTTGGAGGACCATAGCCTCCATGCATAGGGCGCAAGCACTAACCACTGCGCCCCCCAGCGTCTATATTTTGGCTGATACCAAATGCCTGGTCTGACCTCCAATTTGAGCGTTTACAATAAAAAAAGTCTCAATATGTAAGAAAAGTATTTTTTGTAAGCATTATACTTTCTCCTTTCAATTTAAAATGTTGCATCTCCTGTCAAAAACCTTCTAACATAACCAGTCAAGAGTGTCTGAGTCTTTCTAACGCTGTAGTCCTGTGTGTGACGAGAATAGAGGCGCTGCAGTCTATCTGACAAAAGTCTCTCAACAACAGCAGCTGAATCCGTTCATTTTAACTTTATGTTTTATATTTAAGATTTAAGCAAAAAATAAAAATAAAAATAAATAGTTTTTCGCTCAGACACAGAGCAAAGAGGATGTGGCTACAAGACACGATCTGGAGAGGGTGAAAACACAGAGTATTTTGAAATCAGCAGTGGTGACTTCAACAGCGCCTTTCTGAAAAGCTGAAAAAGGCTTATCATGCACATCTCTATTCTATAGAGCTAAAGATGTGTCACATTGTTGTCTTTATTTGAATCAGACTTATTTATATATTCACAAGTTTGCTTTTTAAGTTATTTTTTTGTCATTTTTGCCTTAATTGGAGAGGAGAGCTGAAGAAGGACAGGAAATGTTGGAAGGAGAGAGAGTGGGGGGATGACATACAGCAAAGGGCCGAGGTCGGATTTGAACCCACGGCCACTCGGATGAGGTCTGTTACCTCTGTACATCGGGCGAGTGTCATAACTACTCGGCTGTCGGCGCTCGCGCTCTGTTATATTTGATCATATTTAAAGAAAAGCCTCCACCACGGATATGAAGCCATTGCCATCACTAAAGCACGGTTCTATATTCAGCATCTGTTTTTTTTTTCACTCAGAGTAGACCAGCAACCTTCACTCTTCCTCGCTGCATAATTGATAAACTGCTTCCTGTAGCGGCGTTAAATGTTGATTTAAATGATGCGCAGCTAAATGCAGAATTCATTAATTTCGGCACTCCAAGGGTTTACTGAAGCCTGTTTCACAAGAGCAATTCATTAAGACTGTAAACGGTGGCAGCAACGTGCGGTTTGCTGATGGATCTGCATCTACGGCGCCGTCATGCAGCGCCTGAAAGATCTGTGTTCATCGTCTTTATGATGAATGTGTGGAAAAAAGGTCGCAAACTGGAGCTTGATGTTTGCAAATATGATCAGCTGTTCTCCTCAGCCGTTTTCACATATGCACTCTGGATAATATCTAGATGATTACAGGGAGGACTGCTGACTGTGACTCAGGTCAAAGGTCGTAATTTTCTAACCTGTTACACTGGCATTAATGTTGCTTTGGTTCTTACAGAGTAGGTTTCAGTCAGCTGCAGCTCTGTGGTGTGTAGACTTCTTTAAACATCCACATGTTCTGTTCAGCCTCCTTCACAGACTCTGAGAAATGCTCTCATCATTTTAAAAGCCTGTCAGCAGCAGTCTGACATGCAGCAGTGAGTGAATGCATAAGAATCATCCAACTGGTAAATCATCTCTGTGGACTTCAATTCCCTCAGAGATATTTTCAGCTCATAAAAACTCCTTTGTGTGCATCAGCAGCCCAGGGTAGTTCTTCACACTTCTGTCCACACTCTTTCATCTTACCTGATTAAACCTTAAATGGATAAAAACATCTTTTTAAGTTTGATGTGGTGAAATGGTGAAAGAGATTTGAACATCATAAGTGAGATCTAAGGTGATTCAAAACCCTGTGAAGTTTTTTTTTGGTTCCATTTCATGCTTTTTTTTTTTTTTATAAAAGAAGCACTTTAATTTATTCATGGAGAACAGAAAAACATTGGACTGAGGCCAAAGAGTTAGCTGTTTGATTATTAAAAACTGGCGTTTAACTTGATGTAAGTAAACACACATCGCTCTTTAAAGGCTTTAAATGTGATTTTTCACACTTTAATGTAGAAATCAAGTCTATCCTCTGAAAATAACTCTGTGAGTCATGACTGTCTACAATGGGTGTAACACCCGAGTCCCACTGTCTGTGATGTTTTCAGAGTTTTCAGAG